GGGCAACTGGGAGGGGTGGGGAGGGTGTATGGGGCAACTGGGAGGACCAGAGCGGACGCATGGGGCAACTGGGAGAAGGCATGGGACAACTGGGAGGACCACAATGGATGTGTGGGTCACCTGGGAGGATGCATGGGGCAACTGGGAGGAGGCATGGGTCACCTGTGAGGATGTGTAGGTCACCTGGGTGGATGCACGGGGCAACTGGGAGGACCACAGTGGCTGCATGGGGCAATTGGGAGGATGTGTGGGGCAACTGGGAGGACCAGAGTGGAGGCATGGGCAACTGGGAGGACCACAGCAGCTGCATGGGGCAACTGGGAGGATGTGTGGGTCACCTGGGAGGACCAGAGTGGAGGCATGGGGCAACTGGGAGGTGGCATGGGGCAACTGGGAGGACCAGAGTGGATGCATGGGGCAACTGGGAAGATGCATAGGTCACCTGGGAGGATTCATGGGTCACCTGGGAGGACCACAGCAGACGGGTCAACTGGGAGGAGGCATGGGGCACCTTGGGGGGTGTATGGGGCAACTGGGAGGAGGCATGGGACAACTGGGACGACCACAGGGGCTGCATGGGTCAGCTGGGAGGAGGCATGGGGCAACTGGGAGGACCAGAGCAGATGCATGGGGCAACTGGGAGGAGGCATGGGGCAACTGGGAGGAGGCACGGGGCAACTGGGAGGACCAGAGCGGACGCATGGGGCAACTGGGAGGATGTGTGGGTCACCTGGGAGGATGCATGGGGCAACTGGGAGGACCAGAGCGGACGCATGGGGCAACTGGGAGGATGTGTGGGTCACCTGGGAGGATGCATGGGGCAACTGGGAGGACCAGAGCGGACGCATGGGGCAACTGGGAGGATGTGTGGGTCACCTGGGAGGATGCATGGGGCAACTGGGAGGACCAGAGCGGACGCATGGGGCAACTGGGAAGACCACAGTGGATGAATGGGGCAACTGGGAGGAGGTATGGGGCAACTGGGAGGACCACAGGGGACGCATGGGGCCACTGGGAGGAGGCATGGGGCCACTGGGAGGATGCATGGGGCAACTGGGAGGACCAGAGTGGATGCATGGGTCACCTGGGAAGAGGCATGGGGCAACTGGGAGGACCAGGGCGGATGCATGGGGCAACTGGGGGGATGCATGGGACAACTGGGAGGATGCATGGGGCAACTGGGAGGACCACAATGGATGTGTGGGTCACCAGGGCGGCTGTGGGGGGGTGACTGGGCGGTGGGGCTGAGGGCCGTGCCCCGGCAGGCGGTGCAGGAGCAGAGCGCGGCGGGGGAGGCGCTGGCGCAGGCGCGGGGGGAGCAGGAGCGGCTGCGGGACGAGCTGCTGCGGCTCAGCCGGGCCCGAGAGGGACTGGCCAAGGAGGGGGCCACCTTGGCCGTCCAACTGGCGGCCGCCCAGCGCCACGGCCAGGATCAGGCCCAGGAGGCAGCCGGGCTCAGGTGGGTGCTGGGGGGGTTGGGGGGTGATAGGGTGTCTCCCCACCCTCCCCACACACCCCCCGGTTTCGGCAGCGTGGTGTCTCGGCAGGTCGGAGAAGGAGGGCTTGGAGAGCAACATCTTCCAGCTGCAGCAGCAACTGGCCCAGCTGGAGACCCGCAACCAGCAGCTGGAGGCCGAGGGACGGAGCCTGCTCCAATCTAAGGAGGCGCTGGAGGGTGAGGGGTCCCAGCCGTCCCCACCCAGGCTTGTCCTCATCCTTCTTGCTAATCTTCATCCATACCCCCATCCATTCCTATGCTTCTTCGTTTCCATTTTCATCCTCATCCCCTTCATCTGTTCCCATCTTCATCATCATCATCCCCTTCAGCCATCTCCATTCCCATCCCCATCTTCACCCTCATCCCCTCCATCCATCCCCACCTTCATCCCCATCTTCATCCTCTCCATCCATCTCTATTCCCATCTCCATCTTCCCTTCATCCATCTCCATTCCCATCCCCATCTTCACTCTCATCCCCTCCATCCATCCTCACCTTTATCCCCATCTTCATCCTCTCCATCCATCTCTATTCCCATCTCCATCTTCATCCTCCCCATCCATCTCCATCTTCATTCTCTCCATCCATCTCCATTCCCATTCCCATCTCCATCTTCATCCTCTCCATCCATCTCCATTCCCATTCCCCATCTTCATCGTCATTCTCCCCATCCATCTCTAGTCCCGTTCCCATCCCCATCTTCATCCTCATTCCCTCTATCCATTTCTATTCCCATCTCCCGTTCCCATTGTCATCTTCATCATCATCCCCCCATCCATCTCTATTCCCATCCCCATTCTCTTCTTCATTCCCATCTCCTTCATCCATCTCCATTTCCATCCCCATCTTCATCCTTATTCCCTCCGTCCATCCCCATTTTCATCCCCACTTTCATCCTTATCTTCTCCATCCATCTTCATTCCCATGCCCCATTTTCATTCCCATCTTTATCCTCATTTTCTGTATCCATCTTTATTCCCGTCCCCATCTTCATGCTCATCCCCTCTATCCATCTCCATTCCCATCACCATCTGCATCCTCATTCCCTTCGTCCAACTCCATTCGTGTCCCCATCTTCATTCTTATTCTCTCCATCCATCTCCATTTCTGTCCCCATCTTCATTCCCATCTTCATCCTTATCCTCTTCATCCGTCTCCATTCCCATCCTCATTTTCCTCCCCATCTTCATCCTCACCCCCCCATCCATCTGTATTCCCATTCCCATCCACATCTTCATCCTCATTCTCTCTATCCATCTTCACCCCCGTCCCTATCTTCATCTCCGTTTTCATCCTCATCCCCTCCATCCATCTCCATTCCCATCCCCATCTTCATTGTCATTCTCCCCATCCATCTCTATTCCCCTTCCCATCCCCATCTTCATCCTCATTCCCTCCATCCATTTCTATTCCCATCCCCCGTTTTCATTGTCATCTTCATCATCATCCCTCCATCCATCTCTATTCCCATCCCCATCCTCTTCTTCATTCCCATCTCCATTTCCATCCCCATTTTCATCCTTATTCCCTCTGTCCATCCCCATCATCTTCATCCTCATCCTCTCCATCCATCTCCATTCCCATCCCCATCTTCATTGTCATTCTCCCCATCCATCTCTATTCCCCTTCCCATCCCCATCTTCATCCTCATCACCCCCATCCATGTCCATTCCCATCCCCATCTTCATCCCCATTCTCATTCTCTCCATCCATCTCTATTCCCATCCCCATCCTCTTCTTCATTCCCATCTCCATTTCCATCCCCATTTTCATCCTTATTCCCTCCGTCCATCCCCATCATCTTCATCCTTATCTTCTCCATCCATCTCCATTCCCGTCCCCATCTTCATCCTCATCCTCTCCATCCATCTCTGTTCCCATCCCCATCTTCATCCCCTTCTTCATCCTTATCATCTCCATCCATGTCCATTCCCATCCCCATCTTCATCCCCATCCCCATCCTCATTCTCTCCATCCATCTCCATTCCCATCCCCATCCTCTTCTTCATCCTCATCCCTTCCATCCATCTCCATTCTTGTCTCCATCTTCATTCTCATCGCCCCCGTCCATCCCCTTCTTCATCCTCACTTTCATCCCCATCTCTCACCATCTTCATCCTCTTTTTCATCCATCCCCATCTTTGTCCATCCCCATCTTTGTCCATCCCCATCTTCGCCCGTCCCTGTCTTCATCTCCATCTTCATCCAGCCCCTTCTTCATCCTCATCTTCACCCTCATTCCCATCCATCCCTCTGAATCCCCATCCATCCCCGTCCACCACCACCACCACCACCATCACCACCAACCCTCCGCCACCGCGTTCCCCCGATGTCCCTGCTCCTGTCACTTAACCCCCCCACCCCACCCTGCCCTCCCGGGGGGGTGGGGGCTTCCAGCTGCAGCAGCAACTGGCCCAGCTGGAGACCCGCAACCAGCAGCTGGAGGCCGAGGGACGGAGCCTGCTCCAATCTAAGGAGGCGCTGGAGGGTGAGGGGTCCCAGCCATCCCCACCCAGGCTTTTCTTCATCCTTCTTGCTCATCTTCATCCATACTCCCCTCCATTCCTATGCTTCTTCATTTCCATCTTCTTTCTCGTCCCCTTCATCTGTTCCCATCTTCATCATCATTCCCTTCATCCATCTCCATTCCCATCCCCATCTTCACTCTCATCCCCTCCATCCATCCTCACCTTTATCCCCATCTTCATCCTCTCCATCCATCTCCATTCCTATCCCTCATCTTCATCCTCATCCTCTCCATCCATCTCCATTCCCATCTCCATCTTCATCCTCTCCATCCATCTCCATTCCCATTCCTCATCTTCATCATCATGCCCCCATCCATCTCTATTCCCATCCCCATCCTCTTCTTCATTCCCATCTCCTTCATCCATCTCCATTTCCATCCCCATCTTCATCCTTATTCCCTCCGTCCATCCCCATTTTCATCCCCACCTTCATCCTTATCTTCTCCATCCATCTTCATTCCCATGCCCCATTTTCATTCCCATCTTTATCCTCATTTTCTGTATCCATCTTTATTCCCGTCCCCATCTTCATGCTCATCCCCTCTATCCATCTCCATTCCCATCACCATCTGCATCCTCATTCCCTTCGTCCAACTCCATTCGTGTCCCCATCTTCATTCTTATTCTCTCCATCCATCTCCATTTCTGTCCCCATCTTCATTCCCATCTTCATCCTTATCCTCTTCATCCGTCTCCATTCCCATCCTCATTTTCCTCCCCATCTTCATCCTCACCCCCCCATCCATCTGTATTCCCATTCCCATCCACATCTTCATCCTCATTCTCTCTATCCATCTTCACCCCCGTCCCTATCTTCATCTCCGTTTTCATCCTCATCCCCTCCATCCATCTCCATTCCCATCCCCATCTTCATTGTCATTCTCCCCATCCATCTCTATTCCCCTTCCCATCCCCATCTTCATCCTCATTCCCTCCATCCATTTCTATTCCCATCCCCCGTTTTCATTGTCATCTTCATCATCATCCCTCCATCCATCTCTATTCCCATCCCCATCCTCTTCTTCATTCCCATCTCCATTTCCATCCCCATTTTCATCCTTATTCCCTCTGTCCATCCCCATCATCTTCATCCTCATCCTCTCCATCCATCTCCATTCCCATCCCCATCTTCATCCTCATCACCCCCATCCATGTCCATTCCCATCCCCATCTTCATCCCCATTCTCATTCTCTCCATCCATCTCTATTCCCATCCCCATCCTCTTCTTCATTCCCATCTCCATTTCCATCCCCATTTTCATCCTTATTCCCTCCGTCCATCCCCATCATCTTCATCCTTATCTTCTCCATCCATCTCCATTCCCGTCCCCATCTTCATCCTCATCCTCTCCATCCATCTCTGTTCCCATCCCCATCTTCATCCCCTTCTTCATCCTTATCACCTCCATCCATGTCCATTCCCATCCCCATCTTCATCCCCTTCTTCATCCTTATCACCTCCATCCATCTCCATTCCCATCCCCATCCTCTTCTTCATCCTCATCCCTTCCATCCATCTCCATTCTTGTCTCCATCTTCATTCTCATCGCCCCCGTCCATCCCCTTCTTCATCCTCACTTTCATCCCCATCTCTCACCATCTTCATCCTCTTTTTCATCCATCCCCATCTTTGTCCATCCCCATCTTTGTCCATCCCCATCTTCGCCCGTCCCTGTCTTCATCTCCATCTTCATCCAGCCCCTTCTTCATCCTCATCTTCACCCTCATTCCCATCCATCCCTCTGAGTCCCCATCCATCACCACCAACCCTCCGCCACCGCGTTCCCCCGATGTCCCTGCTCCTGTCACTTAACCCCCCCACCCCACCCTGCCCTCCCGGGGGGGTGGGGGGGTCCCCACTGACCGGGGGGGGTGTCCCCGCAGCGGAGCTGAGCTCAGCGCGGCAGGAGCGGGAGCAGGAGCTGCAGGCCCGGCGGCAGGCGGTGGCGGCGGCCG